CCCCCCCCCCCCCAAAAAAAAAAAACTTTCTGCCACTACAATACTGCACAATAAAGGCTAAATCCAAAGTTTGTTCTGGAATTTACATTGACTTTCCAAGTGTATACTGCTATATTTATCCTTACCATACCTTATGAGTTGAAGCTGCAGGATTAGGTGCTGGTCTAGACACAGAAGTTGTTGATATCCCACTGTAGCTAGGTGTTCTATGGTGACCTGAAAGGCCTGTGGATCCAGTTTTTGCAACAGTTTTTGAACGAGGAAGGGAATTACTCGTGTGTGTTAAGGGATCCTTCTTTTTTGGAACCGCTCCACTTTCTATAAAGAAAACCAATGTAATGAGAACATTTTCAGCAGTCATACCTTTACCATCAATTCTAACTTGAAGATAGTATTGTTGACACATATAATACAGTATTATAGCAGAATAATACAAGTTTTTAAAGAGGTTTAGTACTTTTAAGGGGATGTTAACTGTAGCTTTCTCCTGAAGTTAAGTTTTGAATTTTTAGGAGCTCTCAAACTCAACACTAGTTAGCCATCTTAGAAAAGCTAGAGACAGCTAAGTCCTGTAACAAAGAAAGAACACCATCTATTCCTTAAGACAGAAGAAGACAGAACACCAGCCAGAAGATTTTCCTTCCCAAGAACTCCTAAAAATAATCATTATAATAATCCCCAAATGTCAAGCCATTAGATTCAGAGCATTCACTCCTTAAGTGATGTTAGCAGGCTAGTTACTTTGGATGCTAGCTAACACTATCTAGCACTTTCCACACAGAAGCTTCACCAAGGCACATTAATTGGGGAAAATTAATATAGTTATACCTGCAAGTAACTACCAGGAGCTTTTTCTTACAACTTTGTTTCACTTCAGGAATCTCAAGGTCTAAGTAAATTCTGAATGACAGCTCTGAAGCAGCTTACCTTCCTACATTAAAATTAAGTTTTAAAAATACTATATTATACCACTGAATTCAACCACCACCACACATTCCGTTCATACTTACTCTAATTCACCTCCATGATGGAGTGGGAAGGTCTCAAATTAGGTGACAGATAAAACTTAACATATTGGCCACAGGTGATTAAACTACAAATATATCCTTTTAAAAGGATTAAGGAGCCTTTTGATTAGATAAGAGAAATATGGCATCAGAGGTAAGGAAGCTCAAGATGGATTTCAGCTACAAGTTTCTTCACTAAGCTTTTGGAAATCTGCAACTCAGTTTGACTTGTTAGTCTTAAGCAATGGGCCAAAGAACTCTGATTTTTAAGGCAGCTAATGACTCTATGAAGAATTTTAAATTTATAATATTACAGTTTCGTGAAAAATACTTTAAGTAGAAAGCCTCATAATTTTGAATGCTGTGTTTAGAAAATTAAAATGAGAATACTTCAGTGAAACCGTATCATGGAAGAATCAGTTAATTACTACCGTGTTCTCAGCCTCTTTAAACATAAAGGTCTTGCATACTACCAGGAGCAAATCTTTACACAGCCTGCAGTTATCCATGTGTTTAACTACTTGGCTAACAAGCTTCTAAAGCCTTTCTTCAGTCACAAATCTGCCCCTTTTCAGAGTTACAGAAACTCTGCAGGGTCATCATAAACAATGCAGATGTATCAATATACAAAAAACAAGGGAACTTGAAGAATATGATTAACTACATTTACCTGTAAGATACCTCTTGTAAAAAAAAAAAAAAAACCAACCACAAACAAAAAAACTCCAAACAAACAAACCAAAAAACCCAAAACTGGCTACTGACTAAATCACACACAGATCCAGAGCTGGTTAAATTTACTTAGTCATTCCTGCACAGAAATTTCCAAGTCAAAAACTCTTCAAAATTAGGCATACTTAGTAACTTTCAAGTTCAAAAAGCACTGTATGAATCTATTAAAAAAGCTAGCTACTCAACACTTTGGCTGGTGCAATTTAATCAAAAGGTGACACTCAGTTTGGTTGTGGTTTTTTTTTCCTTCAGCCTCATTTGCACAGCTGGCTTAAAGTCAACATGGGAGGGCTTCAAAAAGCTAAAGCAGTTTTTCTCCATCTCCTTCACACTAACATGTTGCTCAATTATCACACTTTCCCAGAACTACCTCCATCTACTGAGAACACCACACACACACGGCAATTTTGAGTATTATAAAATTGCACAGGTAAGGAGTATTTCAGGAAGCTGGAAATACAGGGGGGAAGGGCAAAGAGAAAGGTTTAAATACAAATTACTATTTACTCTACCCTGTACCTCCAGGAATCAAGACCACTAAGTTTACATATGTTCTGTGGTCAGTCCTGATGGGTAGCACAGAAAGAAGCACTGATGAACTACTCTTGAACATACGTGTTCAGTGTCAACTCCAGAGGGAAACTTCTTTTTATATACAAATTTTCATTGAAGAAGCAAATAAAAATGTGATCAAACTTTTCAGAATTACAGTTTATCTAAGTTTCTAAAGGGTGAAGTGTTTAAAAGCACATGTATGTCTTTTGTCAGACTGATAGCCCCTATTATTTATGTAAAATACATATTTTGCTGTAATAAATGCAAAACCCCCAAAACACATTTCTTATCCATTTGTATTTGTCATCTGCTGAAAGATGGAAAATAAGCTGCAAGTGGCCTTAAAACCTTTGTAGTATCTCCAGCAGCCTTTTGCCAAATGTTTCACCGTTCTGTATAAAACAGTAAGGAAGTGCCTAAAATATGTTCCAATCAAAGACGGACCATGATATTTTTTCAAGTGTATTTGAAACACTGAACAATTCAATTATCTACTTCATATATAATTTTAAGAGAGTAATAGGGTCTTGACCATTTTGATTTTACTCTCTAATTCTTGACTGGACAGAATAATTTACTTCAAAGCTCCAAGCTAATGCCATTAGATCATATAGAAATAACTACCTGGTCCTGAAAGCATCCCTACAATTTTAATCTGTCATCCAAATATATACACAACAAACAAATTACAAACAAGCAAAGAGCAAAATTTTGTCTGAGGTTTTCTATTGGTTAAATTGTGATAAGCTGCAGACACAGGTGCCCAATTTCAGACTCCCTTACAGAAAGGAATGTTAAAATGCATTTATTGTATTTAACTGTTTTTAAAGGTAAAGTGAAGTAAGGATATGTTTGAACAACTTTAAGAGAAGCTTGATTATACTATACACCTGGAAACACAGAAGCAATCTGGGAAACATGCAGCTCTAGCTTATTTATTTAATAAAGATAAACAGCATGCTTTGTATTTCTAAAAAGCAAACCAATCATATTTTCTTTTGTGCATCTAAAACAGATTAAGGCACATCTTAATAAACAAGTTTCTGCTGTTTTAGAACTTCTTAAGCATCCAAAAAACAGTTTAAATTAAAGTTAGCAGCAGCAGTTCCAGTATTGCAGAACAGTTTCCAGCCTTTAGCTGTGAAACCTTAAAAATCATCAGGGAATATTCCTCAGAAATTCCCTATGTATGCCTATTGATAACTGATACAAAGTGACTACAAGAAGTTATTATATGTGGTCTGTAGACCCCAAGTTGGGAAAAAAAATTTCACCAGTCTAGAATTGTCTGTAACTTTATGTATATAGTTTTATTTAAAAAAAAAAAAAAATCTTTAAACTGCTTAGCTATACATTTTCTGCAAATATTGCATAGTAAAATACATGCAGCAATTGCAAGACTGGTAGTTATTCAGGATCAGCATTCACAATAGCCCCCAAAATAGTACTTCCTTCAAAGATCATATTCGGATTTTCAAATAGGTACATTTCAAGTAATAAAAACTACCTAATAGAAAACTTCAGCAATTAACAAGGACCTGTTCAATGTTTCGAATGGTAGCACAGCTACACAGATCAGGGACACAGTTATTCTCCTTCTGAACTGACAGAGCTGTGTCAGTCAAAGATCTACTGTTGCCAAATTATCATGTTAAAAATGATCTTATCGCTACTTGTTCTTCTACTTGGGAAACTCCTTAAAAAACTTCAGTATTAAGAGTAGAATTTTTGCAACTTGAAAAACATTGCCAATATCTGCCTACTATTAAAGACATGCCAGCAAATCCTTCCAAATGAAAACTGAGATAAAATACTAGCTACTTGCACAGTGCTAATGTTGCGGTAAGAAAGAGAATTTTAATGCTTTCTCTGACAGTATAACATGCTGAGATTTACATGTTAAATGTAAAATGGTACACTGGAATTACTGCAGTACTACCAGTATTGTATGCCCAGTAAAATAAGTTCATAAAACTCATAAACACTGCCTTTGGCAAGACTGGCATAATCTCCTTCCCAAGCTAGTTTAAAAACAAAAAATAACAATCCACAATGCAAATGAAAAAATGCATGTCTGGGGAAAAAAAAAAGTACAGCTAAATTGTTTTAAATCTAATTCAAGACTGCGATGAGAACAAGAGTGATGGATATTAAAAAATAAATATGTATTTCAAAATAAAGTTTTGGGTCAAGGCTACTTGTTATTACTCCTCAGACAAGTTACTGCATAGCCTTCTGCAACTGAAGGGCAGGTGATACTGCTGTAATGAGGTCTTATAAAACCTCATCATAAATCTATCAGATAAATTTTCAAGAAAAACCTCCAGCTATTCAGGTAAGTTAGGAAACTATGAATGAGGAAGACAGGGATAGGTAGTCATTTGTGCTAGAATCAAGTAAATTGGTCTGAAAGGCTGACACATAGTATCGTGAAAGAAGGAAGAATCTCAAATCAGTAACATTTTTGAAATATAAAAAATGCACAGTATAGCTGTTAGAATAGAATATCAGACAGAATTAAGCAGCAAAAACATCTTTAAAGACTTCGGCCTTTCAAGGCAAATAAAAGAAAGCAAAGCACTTTTTGACCAAAGAATGGGCAGAAAGGCACTTTCTTGATGTTAGAACTATGTATGACCATGTTTCAAACTTCATAAAATCCTGGACTTTTAAAAAGCCCAGCCTGATTAGGCAGCAGCGCAGGTAATATTTTATGTAGATAGAAAAATGAAGCTTATGCCAGAGCCCTGTGGCTCAGTACCTCTGCAGCACCTCTACTTTCTCAGTAACAGCAGTCCTCTTAAGTAGCCTGGCAAGCTGATTTTGTACAGTTTTCTAAGAATGTCATCTACTTTGTGTTTTTAAATGATTGCTGCTGTCCATGTGAAAATGCCATCTTTATTACAACATGTATAAAAGAAGTACTTTTAAGAAAAAAGTGTAGCACCAACATCTTACAAACAAGACTCCCTCCCCCCACACCCCAAAAAAGGAGACAGAGACAGCATGAGAGAGTGAACACGTGAGTGTAGGCACCAGCAAATTAAGAAATTCAGACTGTTTATAGGCTGACTTTCCTGGTACTACTGTGGACCCCACAGCTGCAGAAGTTCAGTACTTTGGGTAAACCTCTCACTTCCACAGGTTATATGAATCTAAAGTTTACCTTTGGCAATGTAAATGCAAATGGAAATGGAATGAGCCTCTTGAAGTCTTGTTGAAAGTAATCAGTAGATGTCTGGTACCTAACTCTTTTTTTATGACCTGCTCTTTAGTCCTTCTGTCTCTTCTCAGACCCCACTGAGCCTGGTAAATGAAAGTTTCTCTGTTAGCCCACATTCCTTTACAGAAAGTTGGAAGACACTTTCTCAGAAAAAAGCATCCCCAGAAGTCCACGGCCCCTTGCAGTTGTTTCCTCCACAGTTTTGCAGAAGTGGTTCAGTCATCCATCTTCTACAAGTCACCAGGAATGTGACTCCAAATGGGTAAATTGACTAATACCATTTTCCACAAGTTTAAGTGACCACCTCCTGCTACAGGAATTTCTGTAAATAAAAACACCTGCCACAGAACTGGCAAAATGTTTCTTCATTTCCAGTAGATGCCAATGGATATTCTATGCTTTGTTACTAACAGATTTAAGTAACTAAATTAACAGTTTTAAAAGTTCAGTCTAACCTTCTCCTGCAGCATCCAATTCTGAGATACATTGAGAAAAAGGTATAAAAACATATAAAGAGTTTACAGAAAAAACTGTTCATATCAAATCAAATGGAGTATGTTATCAACTTTTGTGTGTATATGTATGTATTTGTTCATTCAACCTCTAGCCAACCAGGTAAAAAGACAAGACTTGTACGGGATCATTTAAGGTAAAGAGTTCTCAAGGTCAGTCTATGTAGGAATTTACACTGAAGAGTCATTTTAACTACATCTTTTTGACAAATGCAGTTAACAAAAATACCACACATACAGTAATCTAAAGGTGCCTAACATGACATAGTTCCACTACTTTAACTTCTCATACATCAGAAAGAACAAAACCAAACAGTAAGATGACTTCAGAACTAGAAATGGAGCTAAAGAAAAAAAAAACACCACGTGGTTTACACTAAGTTTCAGGTTTAGTTACGTTAAAAACTGAATACTGCTCTTGACTCAGTGAACAAGCTTTATTAATTCCATTGCTTGTTAGCTCTCATTTTATTTAACCTTATTATAGTCTACTGTACAAATTATCAGTTGAGATCACAGTTGTAACAATAGCTTACTGCTGGCTTAAAACATTCCCTGAAGACAATTCACGAACCTCACAGTAACTTTACTCCTTGTGTATGGACAAACAAGTTTACTTCTGGTATTTTAGTATCCTTGCTGCAGTCTTCTGGGAAAGGATAAAAGCAACCTTCTTTGACAAAAAGGAAGACCTGTTCCCCCCCCCCCCCCCGCCCGACCCCCCCCCCCCCCCTTGTTTTAATCATGTATCACTTTCTCAGAGTAAAAAACCCCCTGAAATTAAGCAGCTTAATGCAAATGCACATTCACTCTCACGATATCATAAAGGAAGAACTGCTTATGTAGGCACAATATATAACCTACATATCCTACATTGACTTTGACACTTTCTAAAACAGGTTTAATTTAATTCCTTTCAGAATATAACATGAGAAATATTTTCTAAAATCTTGTCTTAGTAAATAGTTTTGGATTCTAGGACAGTCATTGTAAAAAAGAACTTAATACTACTAAATAAAACAGTGTTGTCAAAGTCATAGAAAGGACGGAATATATTTTATATAAAGCCTTTAAAAACAGAAATATAAACCCATTTTTTTTAAGTTGGTGGGGCCAGAACATAGCATTGCATATTTTTCCCTGTAATACACCAGAAACTGAGAGACATCCCCTCAATAGGCGCTGGTAAAACCAAACCCACCTGACTGGAGATGTCCATTGCGGCATGCCAGGTTAGTACTGTCATTATAGACCTCCATTTGCGGCTTGGAAATTTGCAAAACTGCCTGCAGCTTCTCTACATAGTAGACAGAGGGGGAGGGAGGAAAAAGGACAAAATAAACAAACAAAAAATAAAAATGAACCAAGAAAATTTATGTATGTTGAACACACAATGTCAAGTTTGGCTTTGTTACACTTGATACAGGGTTAAAGATAAAAGGAATATTTCTATCTATTCTACATGTTTAGCAAATTTGTAAGAAAATTCTGTCAGTATGAGCATGACTGAAAACAGCTTTAAAACTAGCCATTTACGGCTGAGTTAATTACAACAACCTTTCCAGTCTAGTGATTGTAGTTACTTCCCAAAAGCAATGGTCAGGATTAATTCAACTTCATTTACTAAATATTTGCGTTGATAACCCATTTCTGAAAGTCCTCCCCAAGGTGTTACTTTTGACCAACTGCAAGGAGTCACCACTTTCCTGCATATTAAATGTTTCACTTAAGTAGTAACAGCCAGTCAACATTTCACAGAAACCTCAACTGTTCAAGCAAAATACCATATATACATTACAATGACGTCTTTCAAGATCTCTATTTAGAAATATAATTGCCTTGAAATTAACTCAATAAAATTGTCATGCAAGCTGTGTTCTTTAAGAGGATTAACTTCAGAAACATCTGAATACAAGATTTATAAGGTTAAAGATTAAGGAGAAAGAAATTAACTCTAAGAAGTCATGATAAACTAGCCAAAGTATAAGTCAATGAGGTGTAAGGCTGCAAACGACACAAAACAAGAATTAAGTCTCAGGACTATTTGTTGTCTGCAGCTCACCTACCACTCCTGCTTTTCCCACTGCAGTTAAAAACCTCTAGGCCTTACTTTTGGGGTGCTTTACAGCCTCTCCCACCTTTATTTCACACACACACACACACACACACGCACACACGCACCCACCCCTTTTTTGTAAAGACAAAACACAGTTTGTAAGGATGCAAGGCATACATTGTCATGCTCTCCCTCCCCCCTTTTTTTTCACCTCCTCTCCCCCAAGAGATAACAGTACCAAGAAGCTGCAGGAAAACAGATGGCCAAGTAGAGGAGTGATGTCCTCTGGCAACATGAAAGCACATACTACGAAAGAAGCCGAATTCTACCAAAAATGTGCACAGCCAAGAGCATAAATGCCCTGACTGGAGGAAGAATTGCCATTCAGAGCTTGCAGATCATACAACCAACAAGCATAAACACTTCCTTGCTTCTGCTTCTTTGTCTACTACAGATCTTTTTTCCAGTCTTTCTGCTTCATTCCTTTCTTCTTCTGCCTCCTCCTGATCACTCACCACTTAGCTTCCCTGAAAAGTATCTTTAGGCCCAATAGTTTAAGTGATGGTTTAATAATAACTTCCAGACTGAACAAGATGCAGTTTAGAGTGAAAACTTAGTAGCCACAGGCAAATATGAAAAGCTAAAGTTCAAGATTAGTATGTGCACCCAGGGTTTACTTTGTTTTAAATTGAAAGCATTGAAGAGTCAGGTACAGTAAAACAAAAAAATGTTAGTCACACAAGAACAGCCTACAAACAACCACAAGCTTTGTAACTTGCAAGAAGTTACCCTAAGAAACCTCCCTCTAAAGAAGTCTAAGAAAAGTCCTTTTAGTATGACTGACTGCAAACAGTGTACTATTTTAGTGGGCGCAACACTACTGGAGGAGACAGCAGAATAGTCTACTCCCTGCCCAGTGCATGCAATCTGAATGGAAAGTACACAGAGAAGCTTAGGAAACAAAATTAGTATTAATAGACTTGGTAAGACATTAGATAATCAGTTAAGTTTTGGAGAACATTTCTCAACTTTACAAAGTCAGTGACCATAATAAAAATCAGTTGGCTTGGGCAGGAATTCAGGAAATGCTATTTGCTTCAACACTACAGTTTGAGACCAGGGTTTTACCACAGTTATCAATAGCTTAGCAAGTTCCACATATTCAGGAACTCTAAAACCGCTACAAAGAAATGTAATCCAACTGTTGTCCATTTTCAAATCACACACTGCCTTCCCATCACATTACGTATTAACATGTAATTTTAATATTGCACATAAAATTACATAAAGCAAAAATATCACTTTTCTTGAGAGACAGTGTACCTGTAGAGCCCTCTGGAATAATGACAATAAATTGAGCTATTAAATATTATTCCAGGGAATTAACAGGACACCCCATCACCTTCCATTTAAATGCTTTCTCCTTATGTCTCCAGACATTGGGGGCAGGGAGGGAAGTTTACAGAATCTCATTCATTATTTCTCCGTGACGATACAATGTGGACATAAACCCACCAAATAAACACCACTGCAGCTGTTGTCTTATCTAGGCAACACTAGACCTTGAATTCAAGGTAACTGATTTCTAATAAAAAACCCCATTGCCCTGTAACACAAGCCTGAAGCAAAACCACCATCACCTCCAAGAAAGTGGAAGAATCCCAAAAGGTGTCCATTGAAGCCCATATCTATACACGGGCAGAATTATTACCAAAGAGGATACCGATGAAAGTTATTTTAATTCTGTGCCATGTGCATCCTTCAACCAAAATACTGAAGCTACACATAGTACACAGAAAGGCACTAGTGCTGACAGAAATCTGTCCCCCTACAGAAAGTCTCTCTGAAATGGGAGAAGACAGATTGGTACAACACGTGTATAGCGTTAGAATTGAATAGTGTCGCACTAGACATTGTGATTATCAATCTTTCTGAACAGCAAACTGCTGAGTTTTATGTACCCATTGTAGAAAACAAATATCGTCCTGTGATTCTAAATATATCAAATATAATGAGTCTTAACATGGGTGATCAGTCATCCAGGAGAGATCAAGTCTACGAAGACCATCAGAGCAAGATTTATCCACTCATGTAAGTAACTGCACAGCTAACACACCCTAAACCGTGTCAAGAACAGGGGCCACCACCAATTCACGTGGTAGAACTTGGAAGTCCCCTGACAGCTAGCACAACTCAATATTGTCACTGGACTGCCAAAGCGATCGAGTCACCTTGAGATGCTCTGAAACATACCTGGAGTAACTTCAGCTTTCAGGCTGTGTCATAGTACAGCTTTAAACAGAACACGATAGAGTAATTTAGACTCAAGATGAAAACAGGGCTCAAAATAATAAAGCCAACATCCAAGGTAAGTAGCTGACGTCCTCTTGATCAAACATTAAAAGGCATCAGTGGTGTGATGACACACAGTGGTAACACATGGGCATGATCAGACATCATACCCCCAATCAGTGGTGTCATGCAACTTAAACTTGCATTGATGATCCAACACATTTCAAAAAAATCAAACCACTGACCACTTTTAAGGGACAGTTATAATCCATATGATTTAATTTTCACTTTCTATGTATTACCAATGTAACTTGCTTGACTGGATGGCATTTCAGTTAGGCAGTCTGCAATCACATCTCTGTCTAGCAAGCAGTATGAAATATTTGATATTATTGTCTACTTTAAGTCTGTTTTATCTTGCCAGCTAATGCAATAAAGGACTTGCCTATTCTCCCTTAAGAAATGGAGAAATTCCACAGGGCTAGAGAAAAACACTTACTCTTTGATCTTAAGAGTTGGACTCATAAGGTTCAATAAAGTGGTTTTTCCTAAGAGCTTCTAGAGCCTCAGGTTTAGTTCAACTACAAAAGCATCTCTACACCACTTAAAAACTTCCAGATATCTGTTACTATAAGTAACAAGCTAAAAGCTATGTTTAAAATTGCACATGCAATTCAACTCTAGATTACCTTAAATTTCAAAAAAATCCATGTAAAATTACATATAAAGTAATAAAAACAGGTACTGTCAATACTTGAAAGTTGGTTAGATGGTATAACAAATATTACTCAAATAGACCCATAATGATCAAGCTTGCAGAGATTTAAATCCATTGGAATATCTCTCCAAACATCTTTTTCCTTCCTAAAGGGCAGATGACTTCACTTGCTCCTTTCTATCCAAATTCTGCTCTCGGGTACATCATTTGAGGCAGATCTTTAGTGCAAGCTGAACAAGAACCTACAAAAGAACAAAGTACTAAACTTCTCGTAATTTCTAAGTAAAAATAAAATAAAATCATATTTGACATCAACTTATGCAATAAACACTATTCTATCTGTTTACCTTTCAATCTGCACTCTGAATGAAGAATACAATTAGCATGTGATCACACATTCTGGTAATAAATATGAACGTACCAGCTTGACTTCAACTTTAGTTTTTTTGCCACGTTTACCCTTTTTATCTTTTCAATCAGAGCACAGCAAGTAAGCAACTTATCAACATCACAAGTGCTACTACAATAACACAAGCAAGGACAAAACACTACCCACAAAATACAGGCATTGCTACTTCAAGGTTCAAAGAACAGCAATTTTTTAAAAGAAATCCTAGTTACTTGCAATTTGGATGTCAGCAACAAGTCATGCCTTATCAAAGATTGTTAGCATGTAAGCACTTTCACTCTTTTGTTCCCTAGTTTGTATTACCTCTAGAAGTCAGCCTTTAACCCTAATGAGTAGAAAATATCTTTTCTGCATGTACTAAGGTTCTACCGACAAACACCCGTAATGAAGCATAGAAGCCGGAAGCCTCTTTCACCCCGTGTTCCCTACACTTTTTTTCAAAAAGAACTAAGGACACCAGGAACTCAAGGGAAATAAAAGGGATTCACTTTCTTGTGGTTGTCACAACTTCCCTGTCAATCACCAGTCAGGACCACAGAATCACAAAGTGTAAGGGGAGAAAAGAACATGAGTTTTCCTGTCTGCTCTATACCCTCCTAGGAGAGGGAGTTAGTAGAACTCAAAACAACACAGTGCAAGATTAAAGCTGCAGATACACAAGTTAAACTCAAGTACATTTGTTTAGTTCTCACTTAAAGAGCAATTAAAAAAAAAAAAAAAATCATTATTTTCATTGAAAAAACAAAAATTATATGAGTATCTAATGTGGACCCTAGGTAGTGTCTAGGCACTTAAATTCAAAAAAAAATCTATTTTCATTTTACTGCCTGAACTTAAAGCATTTCCAAAGATCTCAATTTAGAGGATGCACTACACAAAGCTGTGGGTTTGTTGCTTGATGGGGAAGGGAGATCTTTGTCTGTTTATCATGCACAGTAAGATGCTATTTCCAATCCTGCCTGTTTTACTCTGTCCATTAAGAGCTTATATACAACACTTAATTTTGATAAAGCTAAAACTATACAACACTATGCTTCTGAAAAGAAGTGATCTTACCTGCTAGTCTTAAAATAGAACACTACTAGATAAAAATTACAAGGATTAGGATTTCACAACCTTACGGTCTACATAATGCTAAAGAATTATTACTACAGTACATACCAATAATCAGGAAAATTGTTATATAAGTGACAGCAGAATTAACAGAACATGAAGTAGTTAGGCTTACAGAAGGCACACTTAGCACTCATGATCAGCAATATAAGTTTTACCACAGTTCTAACACAGAAATCCTAAACTCCAACAAGAGTTAGTCCAGACTTCCTCAGTTTATGAGTCAAGCGTGCTATGGTATAAAGACTTCTCAGTTACTTTTACACCTATTTCTTAAGGCAGAGGGAAGCGGGTCACGAGATTCCAATTTCAAAATCCATCAACAGCATTGAAAAAATATCACTTACTCTCAACTAAAAACCAAACTTAACAGACCCTACACAGATAATGACTCCTTCACTTTAAAAATCAAAGTAATATTTCAGAAGAATGCATTACATGAAGTTGTGCAAATAATGACAAACTTTCCAAAGTCATGAATTGTAACTGGTACCTAAAAGCTGCAAGCGATCCTTGGCCATTGCCAAATTTGTCATCATTTTAGATTGCAGACGTCGAGCCCGTTCACACTGATCACCTTACAAAGAAAAATCAACGTTAAAACACAATTTGGCAAATTAACTTCAAGTGCTAAAATATTGACACCCAGCCTTCCCTCCTCTTCCTCCCACCCCTTATCTACCCCCTCTACTAAGGAACATCATTGCAAACTAATGATAAAATCCTAAAGCTTTCTATTTAATCAAGAATTTAAAGTTAGTTGACACTATCTGCTTTACAATATTGCTCGTAGAGTGGTGGGAACCCAAGCATTGCTTTGCATTTTCTCTGACATCTCATGCTAACCTAATACCTGTTCTTTGTCACTGCATTTTTCTAAACAGAAGTCAAATAAAAAAGATTTTTAAAAAGCTTGAAAAGTGACTGAGAGGCAAGTACAATTTGAAATAATTCACTTTGGCAAAATTAACAGATTTAAATTCAGTTGACTGTGTCCCTTTACATTTCAAAACACACAGAATTACAGACATTAATATCACCACTTCCTAAAAAATAATGTCTGTTCAAGTCAAGCTTTTTGTTTGTTTGTTTTTTTAAACTGTGCAATTTAGACTGGTTGTATCAAATGCCACTGGTATTGCTGTATAAGTAACACATCACCACATGCTGTTCATAAACATTTCTGAACATAGCTGAGGAACAAAACAGCAGTCTGCAAAAGCAGTTACAAGTTTGGGTTTTTTTGGGGAGCTGGGTGGTTGTTGTTGTTGTTGTTATTATTATTTGGGTGGTTGTTATTGTTATTATTATTATTTTGAGGACAGAAATTCTTAGCAAGTCCTTCACACTACACCTATTTCTCCACGGTACATACCTGCTTCTACACTACAGCTTAAAATGTTTCCATATACACAGATGGCTTTCTTCCTTCATTGGAAATTTTCAGCTATTTTGGCGTAAGCTATTCAGAAACACAATGCTAGACCATTCCAAATTGGGGTGTTTCTTTTTTTAGTTATACTGAAGGGAATATAAAAATCTGCATAAGTGAGAACATGAACTGTCAACTTTGGCAAATCAAATCAGAACTCAGTATTTTGGCATTCCCATTCTAATAAGAAGTATTAGAATTTTCATGAGCTGCTTATGATTTTGGATAGTCTGAAAATATTTGGAGCAAGATTTGCATGTGTTATAGACCAGAACATTAAGGTAGAACAGAGAAATGGACCAGTGTTCACCTACAGCTAAAACAGGAATAAGAAACACTCTTACAAATTAATTCTTACAGCAGACTATTCCTAGCACCTACCATATTTAGCAATATTGATTCCTCACTTTGAGGATGCCATAAACCAAAATCTTTTCCACAAAACTCAAAACTGGCTTACCTTGACCAATTACTAAGACAGCTATTCCTTTTTCCAGTTCTTCAATTCCTTTCTTATACCATTCAACAGCTTGTTCCTTTTGTCCTGCTTAAAAAGGAAGTGAACCCATTATTTTCTGTAATGAATTAAAGCTTAGGAATGGTTCCATATAATGCTGCGTAAAACAAGTAAGAGGAAGGAAGAGATATTTGAACAAAATTCTATGATTTAAAGAAACACTTAAAGGGACACTGTCAACTTTATATCTACTTAGTTTCAAATAAGCTTTTCTATTAAAAACAGGTACTACACCAGCCTCAAATCACTTTTGCCTGGTTTAGGAATACTTCTCCATCTGCCTTAAAGAGATCAGTCCCCTGGGAAAGAAAAAAAAAACAAACCCACCAACAAAAAACCCATGAAAAAAAGGTAAAAAAGTTAGCCTACACATATTCATTCACAACAGAAATGGTGGAATTAATAGTTTTTCTTTCTGGGAACATCAAATTGAGACATGCCTCTTAATCTTCCAGTGATAGCCAATACCAAAGTAACACTAGAAGCACAGAAACTCAAGAAGAAAAGCAACGAGTCTAAGATACTACACGAGGGAGACGAGACAACTTTTTGTCTGGTTAACTTTTGTACAGAGCAGTTCATTTGTCATGCGAGTATTTCTTTGTTCATCCCAGCATGAAACTGCTGTATTGCAGGTGTATGTCAACTGTCACGTGAAGTACAATACATGTAGAATTGGAGTACATCTCTGTACCAACAATGCCCTAAATGGATATTACAGCAAATACAACCGTGAACATGCCTACGCCTAACCTATACTATCTGACACCATGACAGCAAATAACCCATTGAAGAGATATGAATATCTACTTCATATTGCTCCCCTTCTATAAATACTCTGCATTAAAAAGATACTTGCCGGCATATGGAAACATACTTTTACAAGTTAGCTATGTCACACCAAGCACGCCTTTCCACACAGGAATACAGCACATTAGGTATTACAGTTTACACCTGATTAGCATTAACAAGCTGCTAGTGCTAGAAAACACAAAAATGCCTAGAATGAAACCTTCAGATATCATTACCCTCGTTTCAGAAGAGATAACGTTTCACAAAACTATTCCTAAGTGCCAGTTACCAGTGATTGTGTTGCTTCTGCACTCAACTCTTGATAACTTCAGTCCCAAACCTATTTTCTAGCAAATTTTAATGCCAGTAGAAATATTTCAATACATTTCTAGAATCCTCTTAAGGCTCTTCTCTTGCTCCTCTCCAGATGCAAAATCTTTTAATAACATTTGGCAAATTACTCTGTGCAGGTAATTCCACACTTTGCTCTTCTTGCCGACACAAACCACAGGAGCAGCACCTTTCTACAGTCATGTACATCACACACCTTGGGAATCATTTTATTACTGCCCTTTCTCCACCAGCCTCATATATCCTGACTGTCAAGGACAAAGCCAGATAAATTAAATCATCGAAACTGAGTGACTTGGATCCCCTCTGTAGCCTTTTTTTCTTTAAGCTTTTCCCCATCACCTATAGAAACAGTTTCGACTACAGCGTAAATCTAATGCCGATTATGGCTATTAGAAATCAAATTTGAAATTATTCCAGCCACCTCTGCTATTGCCTGAATTGTTTTACTATTCTGAAGAGCAGCTGCGAACATGCCAAGGTCATAATTAAAATCTCACTTCCACCTTTTAACTGGAGAAGTTTTAAAAGCAATACACCAAACCGAGCTGTTTGCAAAGGTAGTGCTCTGAATCTGCACAGAACAGTTTACTAGTTCTCAGTGATTAAGACATTAAAAGTACAATTAAAATGTCATACTCCTCAGAAGGCATTGATTTGCTGTACTGGGTCTGGCTGGGATGGAGTTAATTTTCTTCATAGCAGCCCCAGTGGTGCTGTGTTTTGGACTTGTGACTAAAACAGTGTTGATAACACACCAACGTTTTGGCTATTGCTGAACAGCTTGCACAGCCTCAAGGTCTTCTTTTTCCCCAGTGTAGATCCCCAGCGAGTTGGCTGGTGGTGCACAAGAAGTTGGGAGGGGACACCGGCAGGATGACTGACCCAAATTGGCCAAAGGGATATTCCATATCACGTAATATCATGCCTCAGAAACTGGCTGGGCATTGGTAAGCAATCGCCTTTGCATCACTTGTCTTCCCCCCACCTCTTTCCTTCACTTACTAACGTGTCTTTGTGCTGAACCACAAGTTTTCTCACTTTTGCTCTTCCTGTTCTCTCCCCTGTCCCACTGAGGGGAGTAAACAAGCAGCTATGTGGGTGCTTAGCTGCTGGCTGGGGTCAACCCACCTCACGTGCCTTCTCAGTCCCAGGAAAAGATGTTAAGTTTGATTTCGAAAATACCAAAACAAGAATATTAATTTCCCCAATAATTCAGAAGCATAAAAATTACCAGAAGTGCTACCATAATTACTGAAGCACGCATAGCTTTGAGAACAGCAAAAACGCCACATAATTAACATGATATTAGACAATCCAGAAATCCCAACCATTTCACATACTACACCTAATAAATTGTTTTCTGTTGGAAATTATAAAAAACTTGTTTACATATCAAATAAATTCAAAGGTATGCATGTATTCCAGTAAAAACAGATAAGCAAATAACAAATCTATGTATTAAAGCAAAGTGAGTTCTTTCTCAGTGAAGTGAATATTGCATTTGCAGGGTTGTAACAGCTTTGCAGCTGCTTGTGTTAGCAGCAAAGGTTTTTTTTCTCACTAAATGTGTGACCTGTGAAGCTAATTCATATATGACCACTCTAAAAATATCTATAAAGCAAGTCCGTGATATATATACACACACACAAATATACATGTATATTTGTATATATGCATACAAATCTGTATTTGAAGGCTTACCCTTCCACAGTTATAAGCCACAACAGTGGAACAGGCACCTGATAATTTAAGACTTAACTACTCGTCACAGAGCAATCATCAAAAACACTCAAGTTTTAAGCTACCTCACCTTCTTTCACGCTTTGCTCCTATGACCCTCGATGTTCTTACACTGTACATCTGTCCTGAACTAACCTTGCTGCACATGGTGGGTTTTTTTCTCCCAGAGCTTACCACTGCCACTCCCAAATTGCCAATGCAAAGCAAGACACATCCCTCGCTTCTATGGTGCTCTCAGCATGTGGCTTCTATTGAAGGCCTATTCCTATATTTTTAACCTCCTCCTCTAGGATAGCAGTTTCACTAAAGCTCAGCTGAAAGGGCATACTAAGGTATTCTGATGATTCCAGAGAATTTTAAGACCCAGCACAGCATGCCCCTAAGGACTACCTTTTGGGTGCTGACAGAGTTGTGCTGCTGCGTTTAGACTAAATGGCTAAATCAAATGCACTAGCAATTACTGCTTTTTTTTTTATCCTCTAGACAGGGGGGAAAAAAAAAAAAATTCCTCACTCCCGTGTTTTATTTAATCGATCCCTAAACATCCTCCTTAAGATCTTCTAGTCACATAGTGATAGTTTTAAGAGCAAGCATGTCAAACAGTTTAAGAAAAATATTATAAAAAGCAACTGCCAAAATACGAATAACTATTTCTTTCCTCAAAAGTCAGATGACTCCAATTGGGCAGTTTGAGAGCCAAGTTTCCTGAAGACTCACTTCAACACTTGCATCGTTTGTCAGACAGTACATTAAAGGATGCGCCCTTATTATTGTCCCCGGCGCTTTTGTTGTCCGGGTGGCCTGGTTAAACCGAAAGCTAGTTACAGTCAC